GTCGCGCGGGTGGGTCGCGGTTCGCGGGTGGGTCGCGGGTGGCGGGTGGGTGGGCGCGGGGTGGGTCGCCGGTGGGTTGCAGGTGGGTCGCCGGGGGGGTCTGGGGGTGGGTCGCGGGGTGGGTCGCGGGTGGGTCGCGGGTGGGTCGCGGGTGGGTCGCGGGTGGGTCGCGGGGTGGGTCGCGGGTGGGTCGCGGGGTGGGTCGCGGGTGGGTCGCGGGTGGGTCGCGGGTGGGTTGCGGGTTGGGTCGCGGGTGGGTTGCGGGTGGGTCGCGGGTTGGTCGCGGGTGGGACGACGACAACAACAAACAACAAACAACAAACACCAAACAACAAACAACAAGCAACAAACAGCAAACAACAAACAACAAACAACAGACAACACACAACAAACAACAAACAACAAACACCAAACAACAACAACAACAACAACAACAACAACAACAACAACAACAACAACAACAACAACAACAACAATCACTTTACCCGAACGCTCAGTGTTCTCACCAGTGCCAGGGTTCTCATGCGACGCCAGCCAATACCCCCACTTTGTGGGGGGGCAGTGCAAGCTCTACCAAATATCCACACGACTCTTCGCCACCACCCACACCCAGCTTCCCGCCCTATGACGTTCGGACACTTCACTTCGTGGCCTGCGGACGACCGTGGCTACTACACTGGCGTGGAGTACACACCCACAGAAGTTGTTAAGCCTACGTTCGTACACCCACAGAAGTTCTTAAGCCTTGTTAACCCACAGAAGTTGTTAAGCCTTCCACAGAACATCCGAGGGCGCAACCTATGGCGCAACCGCAAGGGATTATGGCCCCTGGCAGGCGCGCGAACCCCGTTGCAAGAGCGTGCGAAAGTAGCTCGCGCGAGCTCATGTAACATAAATGTTGGGAAACCATTGTTTTTTTTTTAGGATTCGGACAGCGCGCGCGGGTGGAAATTTTGAAAAGTCGTGCAGCTGTTTTTCGAGGACCTACGGTGCGATTCGTGTGATTTTATGATGCGCGGTGCTAAAATTCTTAAGAACCCAATGGTTTTTGGAGATTTCGGCGTGCGCGCGCGAAGAAAAAACGAATCTGTCCCGCATGGTATTATTTGACAGGGATGATGGCCCTGGCAGGTGCGCAACCGTTGTCGCAGAAGTTCGAAAAAGTTGCTCGCAAAAGCCCGTTTGACAGAAATGTTTAAAAAGTGTTGGGTTTCCTACGAATCCGCAAGAGCGCGCGGGATGAGATTTTGACATTTGTTTGTTGAAAAACCATTAGTTTTTTGATGTTTTTATGTTGAAATCGTTCCGAACACTAAGCTTTTGGAAGGATTTCGTCTTGCGCGCGCGAATGTCCACTTTACCTTATTTTTTGCAAGGGATTCTTGAAATTTGATTATATTAGAACAAGAAATGTCATTTTATAGTGTTTTTTGCAAGGGAAAGCGGGGGGGAACAAAACAACCGGATCTTGATCACATCGAATTACCTGAGGCTTCCTCACGAAAATGATGAAAATGTAGCTGCGGCCTAGGCGGCGCAGGGGGGCCGTGCACCAGGGGTCCCAACAATAATTATTCTTTAGAATTAATAATGTTCAACAACCACAACAACAACACCACCACCAACAACAACAACAACAACGAGAATCCGCATCGCGGAATTCCACTTCAGCCACGCACCCAGGGACAGTGAATGACCGTTCGGTTCAGCCCCCTCACTCTGATACACCTATCGGCCCCACCATCTATCGACATTACGGAGTAGCATACATATAGATGTGTGTTTTTATGCATACACGTACACGTCGACACACGATATCTGCCTACGAGCCCCAATACCGATCTACAGACGGAACAACCACGGGATAGCCACGGCACAATCGCGGGATATCGGTTCACCGTCGATCGAACCACGCGACAAACACGGGTCAATAAGAGGGCAACCACCGGATGGTCCGAGTGACCCGAAATAACAAATGATGTGTGATGGGGCTGTTGAGCGACACGTGTCTGCTGTAGGTCAAAAAGTAGATGCACTCACGTCCAAAATCTGCGCATGATGGCAACGCGAGCGAACACACAATGTTGACGCTAACGGTGGTGACGAGAAGGATGGCTGATGTAAACGACCATGGGAGTGACAAAAAGAACACTGACCGGCACATGGCTGCATGATCAACGAAACGTTCCGGACCTAGCTACAGGTTGTGATCATCCGCCACCGTGCCCCCCTGGCATTTTTTGAGGCGCGGTAGAAAACCGAGGGCTGTCTTGCAGGGACTGCGAGTCTTCAAAGTGCCCCTCCCCCCCTCCTGTCACACTCCGGCGGGTGAGCCACCTCTCCCTCCCGAGGCCTCACGGGCGCCCGAACACCCCCCTGCTGGGGCCCTCCAACCATGTAGGCGTCCAAGACGGCCGAGGAAGGCGACCAGGCCGCCGGTACGGCCCAGCATTGCCACCACAGGCACCCAGCAGCCACCGAGACGAGACCAACGGGCGCCAAAAAGGGCCCAAGAAGCGTCCAAGACGCCAAACAGAAGGAGATGATGCCCTGCAGAAATGCCCCAGATCACCCGAACCAAAAGAGCCCAGTGAGTGCCTCCAGAAGCCACTCAGACAGCTCACGACAGCCCCGAGAGGGCCCCAAGACGGCCGCTTAGTGGTCCAAGACTGCCCAAGACGGCCCTCGGCTGGCCCCAAAGGCCCCCGAGACAGCCCCAAGAGACTTTCCAGGCGGCCGAGGGGGGCCCAAGGCGGCCCAAGGCAGCCTTGAGACGGCCCAACGGGGCCCCAAGAGACCCCCAAAGGATCCCGCAGGAGCCCAAGAGAGCCCCGATACGGCCTAAACAGCCCGCCATGAGAGCCGCCGAAGGAAAAAAGACGAAGGGTGTCACATTCTACGGCATGCTCAAAGCGCCACAGCGCAGAGTGCTGCGCTGGCACAGTGGCGGGACTTCCGCAGGCAACTGGACAAGTTCAATTGTCGTGACATTGACATGCTCTGCGTCCATGACCCCACTCAGAAGTAGAATGACGAGGTTGACACATGCGTTGCCATCACGTTCGCAGCGATGAAGAATAGTTGTGAGATCGCAATCATATTAGGGCGAGAGAAGGCTAACTAATGATACGACTGAATACGCGCCAACCGTATTCGACGTTGATGTCCTCTGACGAAGTCCCATCAAGGCGATCACATCTTCTGTATGACAAAGCTGAGTCTCATCCAAAGAACCGTGCTCAAGAAATGGCGCCTCGGCCACCTCAAACAGCACCATGGCAAGCTCAATCATCGCAGGATTCACCGCGACTGGCGAGTCTGTGGCGACAACTGTCAGCACCAAGGGCGGCACAGTTGAGGAGCGGTGCTGCCAACCAGCCCAGCCTCTGGTCTGATGCATACTCTGGGGAGCAGCCTCCGCGGGCCCACGGCTGTGCCAGCGCGGAGCCATCGAAGAGGCACCTCCACACGATTCACAAAAGCGGGCTCGCTGCTGCCGAAGCACCCTTTAACAGGGCCTCCGAGCATCATTGCCATCATCGTCCACGGGAGCTTCTCACATCGTGCACTGCCCTCGGACCCTGGATTACTCCGTGGCGAGCGGGCGACATGAGATGCATCGCGGGGAAATCTCGACTGTCCCGTCCTGTCGATTCGCCTGACGCCACGCATTCCCCATTGATGTTGGACTCCGCGCTTTGAATGTCCCACCAGCCCTCTGGGCGTAGGCGGTCTGACGATATGTCCATTCCCTCTTCCAAAGGCCCCTCTTCCCCTCCGGGGAGGGGTTTACCCTCCCCCTACCCCCTCCCCTGGACCTGGACGGGGATGGGCCGGAGGTGTCAGAGCGCCCAAGATGGCCCAAGATGGCTCCAAGAGGGCCTCCGAGAGCCCAAGATGGCCTCCAAGATCGCTCAAGATAGCCCAACATGGCACAAGATAGCTAACAGCGTGCCTCCAAGAGAGCCACAAGACTCAAGACCTCCCCGAGAAGCCAACATTCTTCAAAAACCTTCGGGTAATCAATGATTTGTGTCTTCTCGCATTTTCGCTTCTGATGCGCGTTTGAAGCACCATGATGGCCCTCAGATGGCCCAAGAGAGCTCCAAGATGCGTCCAAGAGGCCCCCAAGACGGCCCCAAGACCGCCCAAGAGCGCCTCAAGAGGGCCCCAAGAGGACACCAAGAGGCGATTCCGAGGGCTCTTGGGGGGGGGGTACATATAAACCCCCCCCCTTTTGATCGATGGCTTCCAAGATGGCCCCAAGTGGCCCTCCTTGGCCTCGAAGACGCCGCGAAGAGAGTCCCAAGAGAGCCCCAAGAAGGCCCCAAGAGGGCCCCAAGAGCGGCCCATGAGGTCCCCAAGGCGCCCCAAAAGTGCCCCAAGAGGACCCCTAAGACCCCCCAGAGAGCCCCAAGAGGGCGCCAAGATGCCCCCAAAAAGCTCCAAGAGGACCCCAATATCCCCCAATACAGCCCCGTGGATCCAAGAAGGCCTCCGATGCTCCAAGATTGCCTCCAAGATGGCTCAACACCCTTCTTCCTCTCCTCTCCTTGCACGCTCTGGTTCACTATATGTGTCTCTTCGTACCTTTTCCTGTCGGCTCTCATAGGCAGGGCTTCTGAATGGGCTGATAGGGATTCGTGTAGCGTAAACAACTTTCTCTCCTTAGCATACTAGTATGAGTGCGAGGGGCTACTGAATTGCGCTGGGACTCAGTCGGGCTGAGGCCAAGGATGTGGCTGGGCAAGGGCCAGAGGCTGGGGCCAGAGGCGAGAGTGGGGCCCGAAGCTGCGGCTAGGGGGTGAGGTCAGGGCTCCGTGAAGAAAATGGTGCCAGGGAAGGGACCAGGACTGAGACCACGGCGGGGGCTAAAGACTGTGCTAAAAGTAAGCAATAGGGCCCTGACACTTAGATGAAATGCTGCGGGTGTCCTCAACGGAGACTGATCCAGGCATGTGCTGTACGGTCGGGCACTCGCGAGCGAGGGAGCGGCTCGCCTCTGGGTTCACCTTGAGCAGGTTCCTGACAAAGTCGAATCCCATCGGGGTCACCCTGGACCAACGGTCCTGCGACAGTCAGCGCCAGCAGGGAGTGAGAGGACAAACTGGCAGACCAGGGCGCGCAGCAGATGGCGGACTCGCAGAGGGGAGCGGCGGAGAAGGGGGGAGGGCCGCCTGATTGACGTGGAGGGCAGCCATCGTGCTACCAGAGGAAACGCCGAGAAAGGAACGAGTGGGCTTTTCTGGCCACGGGGAGCCGCGGCCACGAACAGCATAGACTCCCCGACATCGAGATCCGAGGAGCGGCCCAGAAGCCAAAGCCCCATCCGGAGCCCGAAGTGGACCTTCCTTCGGCGTCTTGGCTGTAGAGCTTCGGAGACGTCCGCGGCCGCCTCGACCACCTGCACCTCGCCAAGAGTGCCAAAGCACCGCTGATGCTGCCACGAATCAGCATCCCCAACACATGTCGGGTTCCAGAAAGTCTGGATCCTAAAATGTTGGCAACTCTCGGAGGGAACTTTTACGTCCTCTGGCTTCCGCCAGCCGTCCACCAACTTCCCCTGGCGGAGCCGCTCCTGTTTTGCTTCCGCCGCCGTCAGCCAGCCTTCCGCCAGCTTCCGGTGGGGAAGAGATGCCAACTCCTTCTGTCCCTCGAGGCTGAGACCCGCCCCGAACCGCCTCAAATGTTGCCCACGCGGGCCATCCCGTGCAAGCGCCAGAGTGACGGCCAGCAAGAATGGAGGCCTCCCAAAATAAAACCCAACACAGGACGCGGTCGGTGGACTGCAGCGCCTCGGCGACGCATCTGCGAGGCATCGGCGGCGGCGCGACGAGAAAGACGTGCTCCGGATCGCGCTGCATCGCCGATGCGACCCGCGAGGCGGTGCGAGCCCCCGCACCCCATCGACAGTCACCGTGCCACCACGGGAGCGAGCAACGACACGTATACATGTACGCCCTCCGCGGTCTTGCGTGCACGAACCTCCGCGCTCAAACGCCACTCGGCGGAAACAAACCGCGCACATGCACATATGTTGCTGCCCTCTCTGACCATGGGAGCGAGCGGCCTCCTCTGGCCACCGGCGAGCCGCGGCCCCGAGCTCCCCGACACCCAGCTCCGGGGAGCGGCCCGAGGACCGGAGCCCATCCCGAGCCCCAGGGTGGCCCTCGCGCCGGCACCTCGAGCGCACCTGGGCCCCACCTCGGGAGGACCCCATGGCGCGCCCGAGGGCCGTGGGTCGGTGCAGCCTCCGCGGCAGGTCTCGGGTCGGGCGAAAGGGGGGGATAGCAAAGGGGGGGTTTGAGAATCAGCTCACCTAGCTGATTTTCCCGGCGCCTCCCGGCGCCGGAGGCGGCTATATATCGAGGAACGGGCCCCTCGGTGAGGCCGAAACCAGCTGCATGCAGCAAATTTCGTAACCCCCCCTTTCCCAATCCCCCCCTTTCGCCCGGCCCGAACGTCCTCTCCGGGTGGGATTCCCCATGCCCTGCTCGGCAGCGTCCTGAGGTCGGGGGCCCGGAACAACTGCTCGGGGCGAAGGGCCGGTGCGAGGGGACGAGAGGTCGAGAGGGCGGGGGCCCGGAGACTCGAGCCTCTCCCGGCAGGGGGCCCCATCCTCAGCAGATGCACGCAGCCGACAACTGGAGGCGTGTGCGCCGTGCGGGCGCGGGCACTGGAGCCGCAGGTGGAGCTCCCTGTGGGGTCACGATCCTCGCGAGAAGTGTGCCGAACTGGGGGGGGGGCGTACGCCGTGCGGGCGCGGCCACTAGGGCCGTGGGTGCAGCAACCCTCCTGGCGGTGCCACGAAACGTGCCATCTGCGGTCCAGCACTGGCATGCCGAGCACTGCCAGGATGGGGGGCTGGGCGAATCAGAGGGGGAAGCAAGACATAACGCATGGTTATGGACCAGGGAGGTTTCAAAAGCACCCTCCAGAATCCATAGGGGCGCTGAGGGGTCCTCGGGCGTGACGAGAGTGTTCCCCGGATGACCTGGCCAACTGGCCACTCCGACGCCCAGAGATTCTGCTACTCTCTTCGAAGGTACGCACCCACACATCGGCGAGTGAGACGGCGAGGGCGCCACGTGCGCAAGCAGCCCAAACGTGCGGGGGCGGGGGCCTTTCGTACGGCGTACTTCCCCGTCTTAATGGCATCGATGGTGACCCTCTCTGAGCTCCCGCTGAAGGGCATGTAGCCTGTGGGGCCGGCGCTTTGCCCGACGCCTCTAGGCGGCTGCCGAGGCCCCAGACCAGAGGGGGCGAGCGAGGGCTGCAAAGGTTCGCGAGCCACCAGTAGACAAGCGCGCTCCGCCACTCGCAGATGGCCTGGCTCCGCCGTGAGGGGTCTGTGATCGATTACATCGCAGGCAAGCATGTGTTTTTTCGGACGTCTGCGAGTAGGCACTTTGCGAGCAGTGGAACGCGCCCAGTGAACCAGGGTTCACCCTTGCTTCCACCACCTCGTTCTGCCAGCGGGTCGAAAAGCGGCGGCAGGGGCAGAGGGCGGATTAGAAGCAAACCGCTGTGGACGGCCCCTCGAAGAAAAGAAGGAAGTGTGAGCCTCCAGCTGCGCCCTCTCCCGAAGCCGCACCTTGGGCCAGCCCCCCCCCCCCTCTTCGAGCACCCGACTCTGACACTGCCGCGCGACGTTCCCAGTCTGCATCTGTGAGCCTCCGGCTGGGCCCGCTCCCGAAGCCCTATCTTGGGCCATCCCCCCCCTCTTCGAGCACCCCATCTCGGGAAAGGCTAGAAGGTCTGGTTCAGCAAGGGATGCTTTTGATGGCTGCTGGGGCGCCTCATGTCGAGCTGGGGGGGAGGAGGAGGAGGAGGAGGAGGAGGAGGAGGAGGAGGAGGAGGAGGAGGAGGAGGAGGAGGCTCCTCGGTCGGGCGGAACCGGCCTTGTGGCAGCCAACGAACTCTTCTGGCAGCCTCCGACAGTTTTGACCAGACACTGCCGCGCGACGGCCCCAGGCCGCGGCCTCCGAGCCTCCGCCTGGGCCGCCGCCTGAGCCTGTCGGAGTCCCGTGTCGCCAGGGGAGCGGGGGAGCTGCTGCCGTCGGCACCGCTGGCCTGAGCAGGCCGACTACCTACCAGACCACCCCAACCCAACCCGAAGACCCGAATTTCGGGTTGGGTGGGGTACGGGTTCCATTTGTGTTTTTCCACGTTCCCCGTTCCCCCCCCACTGGAAATGGAGGGCAGATTGAGGCCTTCGGGTTGGGTTGGGGTGGTTTGGCGGGTGGTGAGGGGAGCAGCCGTTGTCGGCACCGCTGGCCCGAGCTGGCGCGCGCCGGTCCTGGCAGGCAGGACGAGCAGCGCCGCCACTCCTCCTCCTCCTCCTCCTCCTCCTCCTCCTCCTCCTCCTCCTCCTCCTCCTCCTCCTCCTCCTCCTCCTCCTCCTCCTCCTCCTCCTCCTCCTCCTCCTCCTCCTCCTCCTGGTCTTCCTCCCCCTCCTTCTCCTCCTGGGGCAGCCCGCCTGCTGCCCGGCGCGCAGCTCCTTCAGCAATACGGTGGGGGCGTTGGTCAAGGTCCGGGCCTTCTCAGAAGGCCCAGGATACGAGAACGGCGTCCATGCACCGTACCAGGTCTGGATTCCGTTCAGGCCCCGCTCCAACGCGGTACTGTGCATAGTTCGTTCGTCACTGGACGTCGGTCAACTATGCGCCGTACCATTCCCGGGTCGAGAACCGACGACGCCATGAGAGGCGCCAGCGCGGTACGGTGCACACAGATCGTCCGCCGCACACAGAACGCCGTCCTTCTGAGAAGTTGTCTGAGCCTTCTCCGAAGCCGCAGACGGCTTCTCAGAAGGCCTGGGAGGGCTTCGGAGAAGCCCCGCCGCGTTCTGAGAGGGCCTGCCCCCTTGCACTTCCCTCCGGGGCGCACCGCCGAGAAGGGCGTGCCCAGAAGGCATCAGACCCTGGAGGGTTCCTTCTCTGGTGAGGGCAGCGGTGGTGCCCATCGGTCCATGGCCGATCCCCGATCAGACTTCCGCCAGCCTCCAGACCCCGGGCTCCTTATCCAAGGGTTCCTTACCCCCTGCCCTCACCGTATTAGGGCTCCTTGTCCAAAGGTTCCTTACCCCCTGCCCTCACCGTATGGCCCGGTGCTTCGCCAGAGCCCCTCGGGCCAGGCCGCCCGGTCTGTCGGCTCGCGCGCGAAGGCCCGTGCGCACCACGGGCCGAGCGAGGCACGGACCGCGAAGCAGACCCGCAGCCCCGATCGAGAGCAGGCGCAGGCGGGGAGGAGCAGGGGAGCCTCGGCGGCCCGCCCCTGGGCGGGAGGCGGGAGCAGCGCAGGCCGCCTCCGCAGTCGGCGGGGCTGCTCAGAAGCCCTCGCATGGTGGCCCTCGGAGAGTCGGGTCGGGCGAGAGGGGGGGATATAGCAAAGGGGGGGCTGAGAATCAGCTCACCTAGCTGATTTTCCCGGCGCCTCCTGGCGCCGGGAGGCGCCCATGTATCGAGGAATGGGCCCCTCGGCGGGGCCGAAACCAGCTGCATGCAGCAGATTTCGTAACCCGCCGCCGGAAGCAGGCGGGCAGCGGGCGGCGACGGACGCTCCAGCGGGAGGCCAGGGCCAGAGGGACGAGGCGGGCGAGCGGGCAGGACCGCTCGAGGAGCTGCGAGGCCAAGCCCCGCCTGGCACAGCCCGTCGGTCGACGTCGGGCTCGGGCTCGCGGGCGTCCTCGTCGGAGTCGCCGGCGGCGACGGAAGCGGCGGAGGAGGCGATCGCGACTGCAGGGCGGACCGAGGGAGAGCAGCGAGGGACCGCCCCGCCCCGTCGGAACCGCCAGCGGCGAGAGAAGTGTCGGAGCAGAGGGGGATCGCGGCTTCAGGACGTGCCGACAGAGAGAGAGAGAGAGAGAGCAGAGGGGAGACCCCGCGGGAGGTCCCCTCTGCTCGGGGGAGGGGGAGTGTGGTGAGTGGGCGAGCGTGGGGTGGAGTGCAGGTGGGCGAGCGGCGGAGGGAAGGTGGTGTGGGTGGTGTGGGAGGATCCCCGCACCCCACCTCCACTCCTCGAAACACCCCTCGGCGGGGTGGTCCAAGGCGTGCGATGTCCTGATGTGCTCCGCACGGCGCCCCTGGAAGTCCCCGCCCGTTCCCCAGGGGGCCGGTTCTCCGTCGCGGGTTGTTAGTGTGTTCCCGGCGGCGGCCCCAGGGCCCTGCGAGGGCTCCTGGAGGCCGAAGGCGGCCACGAGCTTCCCGCCCCCAGTGGCGTTACGACGCGAGGCTGCCCTGGGCTGGTCGGGGGAGCCGAGGGCAGGGAGGGGGTCACGCCTCCCTCGGGCGCCGCGAAGGGGGCGAGTGTGGCCGACCTCGCGGACGGCTCGGGTCGCCTCCTGGGCCGGCGGCCAAGGCCTGGCCCCTGCCCCTGGCGCCCTGCTCCCCAGCTGGCCCCCCCGCTGTGCCGCCCGGGTTCGCCCGGGCATCCCTGGTCCATTCGGTCGGGGGGGAACAACTCCCCAGACACTTCGCCGTTCCTCCGAATTCGAGGCTGGCACGCGCGAAGGAGACTGCGGTCGAAGTGCAACTCATCAGACCCACTGCCAACTTCGAAAATTGGGGGGAGGGGGAGGCTTTGACCGACGAATGTGGCATGAGTGTTGACTATTTGCTTCCGAGGCCTGTTTGGACGCCCGAGATGGGTGCGGACAAAGTGGACACGATGACTGACAAGGAATGCTGCCCCAAATCAACAGCAGCCGCTGTGTTGGCAGGCGGCCTCCTGTCTCGGGCGGGTAACTTCTGCAACGGCACCGACGACGGGTCCTACTCAAAATGGGCAGGGCAAGCCGTCGGTCTTTGCACCACATGCTCTCCGCACCCCGCTCGATCGTCCCGAGTCCAGGGGGGGGCACGCGGCCGCGCGCAGGCGGCCACACGCCCCCAGCAGCGGCCCCTGGTGGAGCCCTGTCGCGAAGGGCCGATCCGATCCGAGCCGGTCGGCTACACGTAAGGAGTGGCCCTGGGCAAGAGTGACCTTTGCTGCGCGCCCCAGGGGGGCCTCGTGGGGGCCCCAATCCAAGCGCACAGGCCAGTGCTGGGGTGGCCCCCCTGGGCCCGCGCCAGAAGGTCACTCCGGCGAGGGGTCACCCTGACGTACAGCCGATTCGATCTGGCATCGGGGCCGCCGCCCCCCCTGGCCCGCGCAGCGTCCACTCCCCGCATGGCCCTGCCCTTGCTCACAGCACGACCTCCTGCAGGCGCCCTTCCCTGGCCCTGGCCCGGCACCACCATCCCGTGGACTCCCCCCTTCGCTGATGGCGTAACGGCTTCTGCCGTCCCTCGACTCGCGCTGGAGCGGCCACGATTTGCTCGAAATGTCCTCGGGGATCTTTTGGACGCATCCGGCTCTGATCCCCACAAGTCGCCCCCGGCCTCCCGAGCTCCTGCTGTATAGGTGGGCCCCCCCCCCTCCCTCTCGTCGCATCGCCCCCCCGGGGGCAGGCGTGCCGACGAGAAGGATGAAGACTATGACACCCAGGCTCCAGAGGTCACACTGGGAGGTGTAGCTCTTCATCAGGACCTCCGACACGGAGCGCGAGGACGCGGAGCCAGCACGCGCCGACGCCCTCCGGCACTCCTCCTCCGCTCTCCCCTGCCCTCCGCACACCTGGCCTCACCGGCACCGTAGTCCTCTCGTAGATGGGTGCTGCTCCTCATCCAGGCAATCGCATATCGCATCAACCTAAGAGTCTAACTCGACAGTTACCCTCGGAGGATATTGTCGGCACTCGGCTGAGCACTTGCATACCAAAGGTCACTCCGGCAAAGGGTCACTCTTACGTGTACTCGAGCCACCGGGAGGGAGCTTCCCGCATTCCTTCACCGGCTTGGGCGGGAGGGCGCACGCAAGGCTGAGCAACGCCACAGGAGGAGGAGGAGGATGAGGATGAGGAGGAGAAGAAGGAGGGGGAGGAGGAGGAAAGGGAGGAAAAGGAGGCGGGAACTCCAGCACCCGCTTATGAACACTGGGCCCTTGTCGCGACTGCAGCCGACAAGACTGGCCGTGTCTCTCTTGCACAACAGAAACGCGGTGGAGGGAGGAGCACGTCAGGCAGCGAGCAACTCTACACGATACCATCCCGGCCAACTGTCTTTGCCGAGACTGGCCACTGCAAATTGGGCGCTCTGTAAGAAGAGCGCGTGGACGAGCAAGCTGGAAGAACCCGCTCCCTGCGTTCAACTCACGGCTCTCACGGCTGACTGGCCACCATCGACCGTCCAAGCCGCACAAACCTCGGCAACACGGCCATTCTCCCCCTCAATCTCCCCCAACCGCGGCGCAACCACGCTTCCAATTTCACGCCGTTCCCGCGAGATCGACGACCAGCCCAGGCACGGAAAGAGGAGCTGGGGACTGCAACGATCGCTGGCACCAAGCCTGGTCGGGCGTGGCCCTGGTGTATTTATTTCCCCTGGGCCAGGCCAGGCCAGAAGGGCCCAAATTTTATCGGCCCAGGACGGGTCTGGACACGAGGGGTGTCGGGAATGCTCCTCTTCGGCCAGAGCAATCCTGCAGTAGGATACAATCCAACCGTATCTATACGACCACCCTTCGGGTGATAAGGAGGTTCGGGGGGGGAGGAACCAACGTCTCACTCGATCGGTCTCACTATCGATCTCACGATCGATCTCACTATCGGTCTCGCTCGATCGATCTCACTCGATCGATCTCACAATCGATCTCACTCGATCTGTTTCATTCGATCGATCTCACAATCGATCTGACTAACGATCTCGCAATCGTCTCACTATCGATCTCACGATCGATCGCACAATCGATCTCACATTCGGTCTCACTATCGATCTCACTATCGATATCACAATCGATCTCACAATCAACGTCATCGTCATCAACCGCATCGTCATTGATGTCATCAACATGATCATCATCATCACCATCATCATCATCATCATCAGCATCGCCATCATCATCATCATCATCGGGACGCCATTATCATCATCACCTCGTCACCATCATCATCATCAACACCATCATCACCCTCATCATCATCATCATCATCATCATCATCATCATCATCATCATCATCATCATCATCATCATCATCATCATCATCATCATCATGGGGACACCATCATCGTCACCATCATCATCAACAACATCATCATCGTGACACCATCATCACCATCATCAGCATCGAAAAACCACAATCATACAAATCATCATCATCAGCATCTCATCATCATCATCATGAACAACATCAGCAATTTCATCATCATCGGGACAACATCATCATCAGCATCATCATAACAAAAAACATCAGCAACATCGTCATCATTGGGACACCATCATCATCGTCACCAGCATCATCATCACCATCCTCATCATCATCATCATCATCATCATCATCATCATCATCCATCATCATCATCGGGACACCATTATCATCATCATCAACATCCGCATCATCATCATCGGGCCACCATCGTACAAGTCATCATCATCATCACCTCATCATCATCAACATCATCATCATCGGGACACCATCATCGTCATCATCATCATCACCACCATCATCATCATCATCGGGACACCATCATCATCACTATCATCATCATCATCATCAACAGCATCATCAACCTCCTCATCACCATCATCATCGGGACACCATCATCATCATTCTCATCATCAGCATCATCATCATCATCATCTCATCATCTCATCATCATCAACATCATCAGGACCATCAACATCATCATCACCATCGGGATGCCATCATCAACATCAGCGACATCAGCATCATCAACATCATCATCACCGGGACACCATCATCATCACCACCATGGCCACCATGATCACAATCATCATCATCACTATCGTGAACATCATCATTTTCATCATCGGGACACCCTCATCATCACCACCATCACCATCATCATCATCATCAGCATCATCGACATCATCATCATCATCATCATCATCATCATCATCATCATCATCAGCATCAGCATCAGCATCATCATCATCATCATCATCATCAGCATCAGCATCAGCATCAGCAGCATCATCATCATCATCATCATCATCATCATCATCATCATCATCATCATCATCATCATCATCATCATCATCATCATCATCATCATCATCATTATCGGGACACCGACAACACACCGGCGGGACACCGCGCGCCACCGGACGCCGGAAGGGAGACATTTGGTCCGGCCGCGCCTCAGCCACAGCGGGACACCGGCGGGACACCGCGCGCCACCGCGCGCCGAAAGGGAGACATATGGTCCGGCCGCGCCTCAGCCACAGGAGACTTTCCTCTCGCCCGCCCACGCAGCTTCGCCTCGCCCGCACGCACGGCACGCACGAACACGAAACCGAAACCGATTTCCCGGTAGGGGGGCTCTCCGTTCCACTTCGATCTCACCCCCTCACCTCCGATAATAAGAATGCGCGGTATGGATGCAAAAAACCTTGGAGGGCCATGTTCTGCTTTTTCGAACGACATTGGCCAGCGAAAGTCGCTAGGGATGAGCCGAAGGTGAAGGATGCAAAGGTAATCTTGTAAAGTTCAGTATTGCTATGCGGGTTGACTGTGCTCGGCCCTAGAAGCTGCCCCTGATTCCTGCAACCCTAGGGCTGAGAATGGGGAAGCAGAGGAGGGCCGTGCGTCGGATAAAAGCGTGTCGTTCCAGCCTTATCCCGGCCGACACATTTTCGGAGAAGGAGCTCATGGGTCGGGCAGCGCTGCAAGCGCATCATCAGATTCTGGGGCACGGTTTCGGCCATGCAAACTGGGAGGGAGGTCATACGGCGGTAAGCTTTCTGCGAGGCGCCCGACTTGGGATCGGCCCTAGCTCTTTGCAAGCCTGAGCTCTCTAGCGACTCCGCTTGATGAGTCAGTCAAGTGTTTGGCGGGCAGAGCTCGGATCAGTCCTGGAAAGCCCCAATGGTTCAACTCCTGGGCGTGCGGGAAATCGCTGCTGGGCGAGATCAGCCAAGCCTTGAATATCACTTGTTCGTCGATCCAGGAACCCCGACTTGGCTCATCCTGCCCACTCTCGGCTCGACGATGCAGGGCGGGCCTCACGAGGCCCTGTGCAACCGCCCCGCCATAGGCAACCCGCCTGGAAAACACAAAGGGTATCTCACCGTCTTTCCCAGGTCCTCCTCACGGAAGCAGCCTTCGCGCGTGCGCTCGGCAAACCTTGGCAGTCCTTTGACCGCCTGGGAGCTTCCCGGGTACACGAGGCGGCGCGCCCGCATCCTTATATGCGCAGGCCGAGGCTAGCCCTTTGATGCCCAGCATGCGGCCCCCCTGGCCAGGAGAGGGAGCGGGTCACAGCCAGCTCCGGGATGGTTCTTCCGAGCGGCAGCGCGGCGGCGACAGCTGCAGCCTCGAAGTACGAATAGAAGTCGCTCTCAAAAGCGGGCGCACAAGAGAGCAGTGTGAGGAAGCTGCGATGCACCGCGGGCAGCCTCGGGAGCCACGTAGGACAGGGTTCCGCAAGACAGCTCCATCTTGGTGTGCTTCTCCCAAATGTTGCTGAATCCTCGGGTAAGGCATGACTTCCTCTCCTTCAAGTTCCGCCTTTACTCGAATTGTCGGCATCATTCCCCATTCACTGTCATTCCCCTCACGATGTCCCTGGACGGGCTACGCATCAACTACATCACGTTGGTACGAACCGTTCCTATCCAACGCAGCGCACAACTCTGGAATGGTACCTCGAATTGGTTCATGGGCCCCGCACTCCCTCTCGAAATCGGCCCTGTCACCCTGGACGACGCAAAGACCAGCATCTCGAATAACACCCAGTCGCGACAACGTACTCCAGATTTCGTAATAAAAGGGAGGGGGTCTCAACCCTCCCAGACGAGAAGTTTCAGACCCTCCCAGACCATCCATGAAAGGGCGGCCCTTTGCCCAGACCCCCCCGAACCCTCCAAGACAGCTCAGATCAGACCCCCCCCGAAATGTGACCCCCCCGACTTTCTTATAGAATCTGGAGTATAGACCCTCGTCGAGCAATAGTGCGCATCGAAGCGCACTTGCACACCCAGCATGGCCGTGGAGCCCGCACGAGGGCTCCCACGGGTCCGGCGGCGAGAACGGCACCGGGCAAATTGCGAGGCAGGGCAGTGCTCTGTCCACGGAACGGCAGGTGCCTCCGCACACACGAGCTCCCCAGACGGTGCCGGGCACCGCGAGGCCCTCGCGTCCCTGACCTTCGGGAGAGGGGGGAAAAGCACACAGGGACAGCGAATAGGTCGAATCCCAAGAAAGGGTTGAAACATATGGGAGGTGGGGGTGGGGGGACAAAAGCTCAGAAACTGTTGGGAAAACATGGGGAATCCTTTAATTTGTGTGTATATTCATGTGTGTCCCTCTCTTGGCCTTGTCGTGAGGCCCCTCCTTCTGTTTTCCTCCCTCTGTCAATCAAAGTCGTGCGCGGCCCGCTTAGCTTCGACCGGAAGAGGCTCGCTCTCGACCCGCGGATCAAGAAGTATTTGTTTGTGTGTCTCAGGGGCACCTGGCCGGCGGGGGCCCGTCCGTGGCCGCCCGTGGCCACCCCTAGGCCGCCCCGTGGCCGCCCCGCGGCCGCCTCGCTGCCGCCACAACGCTTTCTCCTTCTTCCTCCCCCTCCTCCTACTTCTTCCTCCTCCTCCTCCTCCTTCTTCCTCCTCCTCCCCCTCCTCCTCCCTCCTCCTTCCTCCTCCTCCTCCTCCTCCTCCTCCTCCTCCTCTTTCTCCCCCTCCTCCTCCTCCTCCTCCTCCTCCTCCTCCTCCTCCTCCTCCTCCTCCTCCTCCTCCTCCTCTCCTCCTCCTCTGCTCCCCCTCCTCCTCCTCCTCCTCCCTCCTCCTCCTCCTCCTCCTCCTCCTCCTCCTCCTCCACAGGAAGCCTTCCACAAGGAGCCCAACCCTGAGACCCCAGGACGTCCATCGACTCTCGGTGTGGGAACGCCGCGCTTTCCACGGCAGGACCATCGAGGCCCAAGAAGCCCAGGGCACCCTGGAGGCAGGCGGGGTGTCTCTCGGCATGGGCCCCCACTGGGCCCCCACTGCAGCTTATACAACACTGCTTGCATCACGTAGATTGCACCACCTGGCTTACACTACGCAGGCTGCACTCTATAACTTGCCCAACAGACCTTGCACCGCATAGTTTGCCCAACGGCTTGCGACACAGAGCTTGCACCACATAGCTTCAAGCACGTAGGTTGCACCACCTGGCTTACACCACATAGCTTGCACCAGATAGCTTGCGCCACACAGCTTGCACCACATAGATTGAGCCACGTGCATTGCACTGCATAGCTTAACCCGCACAGCTTGCACCACAAGTATTGAACCACGTGCATGGCAGTACATAGCCTACGTACACCACATAGCTTGCACCTTGGCCCTCATAGCTTGCATCACGTAGCTTGCACAACATGGCTTACACCACCTAGTTTGCACCACACATCTTACGCCCTATATCTTGAATCAAGAGTTTTGCACCACATAGTTTGAACTACGCAGCTTGCACCATATAGTTTACATCACGTAGGTTGCACCACATGGCTTCCGCCAGATAGTTAGCACCACCTAGATTGCAACGCATAGCTTCACCACACAGCTTACACCACATAGCTTGCATCACGTATATTCCACCACATAGCTTACACAGCATAGCTTGCACCACAGAGCTTTGACAGCAACAGTGGAACAACTGACTGTTTGGGGTCTACGCTGGCACACATAGTAATTTAGCATTGGAGAAGGCTAGATCAAAGGCGACAGCGTGGAACTGGGCTTCCCGGGGGGGTCCCCCTGCAGTGTCCTGGCGGAGCACCGCTGGACACTGTTGATGTGGGCACTGGTGTGGACGCATGTGTCGAAGATGGTGCTGATGGTGCTGATGGTGGTGCGCGTGACGGTGCTAGCGCGGGCGCGGTGCGGATACGGCGTCGGGGGCAGGCGCCCGTTGCGGGTGCGGCTGCGGGCGCGGGCGCCCACAGACCACCCAAAGTGCGCTGGACCGCCGCGGGCACGGGCGAGGCGTCGGCTTCAGTCCCCCACGGGCGGCCCCGCATGAGCGGCCCGCTCGCGGCTGCGAGTGCGGCTGCGGGTGCGGGCGACCGCTGGCGGCCGAACATGCGCTCACGAGCCTCGGTTGACGGGGGTGGGCAGCGAGCGCGGCGGGGGTCGCTCGCGGGAGGCCCGCAGGCACGCTGCCCGACTGCAGCTGCGGCGGCAGCCGCCCGCGGGCGGCCCGAAGCGTACTGGCCACCTGCGGTGGCAGGTGTGCGGCTGCGGGCTCCGGCGGGCGGCCCGGGCGGCGGGCGGCGGGTGCCCGCGGGCGCCGGCTGGCGGGCGCGGGAGCCCGCCAGGCGGCGGCCCAGAGAAGTGCTGCCCGGCCGTGGGGCTGCGCGTGCGCGGCGCGGTCGTGCAGCGGGCGGCACACGGAGCGCGCGCCCCCGATTGACTACCTACCAGACCACCCCAACCCAACCCGAAGACCCGAATTTCGGGTTGGGGGGGGTGCGGGTTCCATACGTGTTTTCTCCATGTTCCCCGACCCCCCCCCACTGGAAATGGAGGGCAAATTGAGACCTTCGGGTCGGGTTGGGGTGGTTTGGTGGGTGGTGACCGATGCGGTGCCGCGGGCGCTGCTGTGGCCGCAGCCCCGGGGCGGCCCGCAGCGTCCCCCGGCGTCCTCCGCCACCTGCTCCTCGACATCCTCGTCGTCCTCCTCGTCGCCATCTTCAGGGTCGGCGGCACCGGCCGTAAGGCCTTCGCAGCACGCAAGTTCAGCGGGGGGTCCGTTCCTATCCTCGGGGCCCCATCCCTGAAGGCCACACCTTCGAGAATCCGACCACGGTGCGCGTCGGCAACGGTGAAGCCGGCACCTCGGGCCCCCGACTGAAAAGCTTGGCGGCACGCCAAAAGAGGAAGCGAGAAGCGGCAGGCCTTCTCAGAAGGCGCGGGGTTTCGGAAAAGGCGATGAAAGCTCCTCGAGAGGGCAGTGGCCGGAACTGCTGTGAGAGTTCGACGATCCTTGCGTGCGGCCAGCGAGTCCCGCCCACGAGCCCCGTGCGTCGGCGCGCAGACTTTTCAGCGCGGCGGTCCAATCCGCGTGCACACCCCATCTGGGGGCCGCGGATGCATCCGCGCCTGGGCCAGCGGGCCAGGCCCTCAGCGCCGCGCCAGCGCCTCTTTGCGGAGCCCTTGGGTCGCGTCACCTGCCGCGCGCGCGCGCCATCGCTTGGAGGCCCCCGACGTGCCGCGAGGGGGAACCAAAGGATCGGCGGCGGACAAACCTCCCTTTAGTAAAGCACCCTTTAGTGAAAACGGCCTGGGACCGAAACCGACGGGCCTGGACCCGCAAAATGACGGCCGCGACGCCCTCTCGCGAACCGAAAACGGCCAATTCGCTAATCGCCGTGTCAGGGTAGTACGAGGTCTGTCCACCCCCGAAAGGATACACGTCGTTCATTTCTAATCGTGCTCATTTCTCATTGTGCTCATTTCTAATTGCTCCTGGACCCCTAGTGGCCAGGAAGAGGCCAAGGATAGAACAATTAGAAATGAAAGGATCTTGGCCCCCAAAAAAAATCATGAATTTTCGAAGAATTAGAAATGAACAATGTGTACGAAAGGGGGGGGCAATGGCCAAGGGGGAGGGGAAACCTCGAGCTGGGCCCCCGATAGCGAATCCGAACGGCACTGGGCGGGGCTATTTGGGCCCCTATCATTAGGCTGGGCATGTCCCCCTGCAGGGGGATTTTGGACGAAAAAATTAACAGTGCCCCAAAACATTCCAAACAAATATTCAGAAATGCTCACATATTCGTCCGCATCAAATATTCCCCCAGCAGAGGGACAGGCCCGACTTCACCCTATCGGCGATGAATGGGCGATTGAGGGTCGACGTATCATCCCTCACTGAAGCCGTCCTCCTGGCGAGGCGACCTTATGGACACCAACACCGCCCTGGGCTTGGACAATTTCGTCAGCCCCTTGCTGTATCGCGCTGGCACGAACAAGCGGGTCCGTGCCGGTGTGGCGGATTTGGATGTGAAGGGACGCTCCGCTCAGTGGTTACATACGGAGGAACTCGCCCAATTCCCACCATCCCTTTAAGACGTAGGTGGTCTAGCGCGCCGCCTCCTCTTCCATCACTCCCTCTTCCCCTTCGAGGAAGGGTTTATCACTGTCCCCTATTAATAAACACCCCCTCCCCCAGGCGACTGGGGGCCAACCAGGGTCCATGACGACACCCCCCCACCATTCCTGGTAAAAAAAAATGCGAACCACACTCTGCCTCCAAATTCGGAACATGCGCAGCCAACCCGATCGCCCCCCCCACCATCCCTATCAAAAAACAATACATAGTACACTTGGCGGCGGCGGCGGCGGCGGCGGCGGCTGCGGCGGCTGCGGCGGCGGCGGCGGCGGCGGTGGCGGCGGCGGCTGCAGCGGCGGCGGCGGCGGCGGTGGCGGTGGCGGTGGCGGCAGCGGCTGCGGCGGCGGCGGCGGTTTGGCAGCGGGGGGCGGCGGCGGCGGCGGCGGCGGCGGTGGCGGCAGCGGCTGCGGGCGGCGGCGGCGGCGGCGGCGGCGGCGGCAGGCGGCAGCGGCGGCGGCGGCAGGCGGCGGCGGCGGGCAGCGGCGGCGGCGGCGGCGGCGGCGGAGGCGGCGGCGGCGGCGGCGGCGGCGGATTGGCCCCCAGTAGCTGCCCATCCAAAAGCGACTGCTGAATATGCTCAGGCTCGGGCCAGACTCGGGTGCTACGTATGTGTTGGGAGGGCGGGTGGGAGTGAGCGAGACGGCTTGCGGGCGGGGAGGGGGTTTTGACCCCTCCCCCTACCCTCTCCCCTGGACCTGGACGGGGGGTCCCGCGAGGGGTTGGAGCGTCCAAGATGGCCCAAGATGGCTCCAAGCGCGCCTCTGAGAGCCCAAGGCGAGCTCCAAGATGGCTCAAGATATCCCAAAATGCTACAAGATGGCTCCGAAGGTGCTCCAAGAGGCCCCAAGGCCGCTCCAAGACGACTCCAAGTGGCCAACGAGCTCCCCAAGGAGGCCCCGAAGAGGCCAACATCCTTCCAAAACCCACGGAAAATCAATGTTGTTTGCTTTCTCGCCTTTTCGCTTCCGATGGCCTTCCGAGGCCTCAAGATGGCTCCGAGAGAGCCGAAGAGGGCCCGGGGCCCAAGAGAGCCCCAAGACGGCCCCAAGAGCGCCGAAAAGCGCTCCAAGAGCGCCCCAAGAGGGGCCCAAGAGGCGACGTTGAGGGCTCGCGAGGGGGGCCCTAATTGAACACCCCCTCTGCTTTGATCGATGTACTATGGCCACAAGAGTGCCCCTAAAGCTCCCAAGAGCCCCAAGAGGGCCCCAAGAGGCGCCCAAACAGCCCCAAGATGCGCCCAGGAGGACTCCAAGAGGCTCCCAAGAGGCCCCGAAGAGGCCTCAAGAGGATCTCCGAGGCACCCAAGACCCTCAAAGAAGCCCCTGGGCTCGCCAAGATGCGTCTTTTCCTTCTCCTTCCTAATCCTCCTCCTCCTCCTCCTCCTCCTCCTCTCCTCCTCCTCTTCCTCCTCCTCCTCCTTGTCCTGCTCCTCCTCTTCCTCCTCCTCCTCCTTGTCTACTGTCTTTTCCTGGTTCCTCCTCATCGCCCTCCTCCTCCTTCTTCTCCTCCTCCTCCTTCTCCTCCACCATCCTCTCCCTCTTGGAGTACCGGACGGCTCTCCCCGCCCTTTGTTCGTCTGCATGCTCCCCCGCTTCCCTGATCACCTCAACTCCCCTGGGCATCGTTTCTGGATGGGCTGGTGGGGGCACTTTTTAGTCAACGGCCGCGGGCGAAGGCGCCGACGGCCTGTCAAGTCAGAGCGGGGCGCGCAAAGACTAATTGGCCAAGAAACGCGGGAAAACCAAACAGAGCGACGGGCGAGGCGACAGCTAAGCACGGCCGAGGCCTCAGCTGGGGGGCGGCCGGGACTGAGCTGAGGAGGGCTGCCAGCGCGCACAGCTGCAAGTCAGTCGGAGGCGTCACGCGACGGGAAGTCAACGACGGCCAGGGACAACTCCGAGAGAGAAAACGGGATGCAACGCGTCGGAAGCAGCTGGCGGCCAGGGTGACCGGCGACCAGGGACTGCTGGTGGGGACACTTTTTTTGGTCGCGGGTGGACGCGGATTCGCAGTCGCCGAGCTGAGAGGTCCGGGCCACGGGCCTGTCAAGCTGGTGGGGACACGCGCAGCGTCAACCGGTGTCACTCCCCAATTGTCCAATATACAGACATGTACCGCTAGGCCACTGCGATCGCTCGAACTGCCGACCTCACTGCTTCGAAACGTTACCTGACTCGGCAAAGTGTTTTGCCAGCACCTCCTTGACATAATGATGGCATAAGCAAGCAAGGCTACACACTCGCGAACGCACGCCCCCTGAACGTCATGCGATCCCTCATCACCAAGCCTTGGCACGGAGCCGTGAGTACCTAAATTAGTGACAGAAGCTCAACAACACAAGATACGCTTGATAGGATGGCATTATGAGGAAATCATGGCTACCCTTATTGGGCTGACGGAAGCTCCAGAAAAGGCCAAATGGTCAATTTTGACTTCCAGCAGCAGGCTAACGACAATCGCAACAATTTTGGAGTAGGCCGTTTTGTCGCACCGCTTCCTATTATACACCAGCACGTGCTGTCTGTGGCGTCGCTTCGCTCGACCGAGCGGCCAAACCTGCCACGCGCCGGACTCGAACCATGTCCGAGAGATGGGTGCAACCCCGGCATGGCATGCATACCTCCGGTATACGTCTGAACGAACAAGAACGGGAAGAGCCGATCTGGTCAATTGGGCTCGGAGGGGGAAAAAGAAGACAGATAAGAATGATGACGACGACAAGGCGGCGGATGTCGAGGATGGCAGCGTGCAGGACGGGGAGGGCAGCGAGGGGAGCAGAAGGACAACGAAAAGGAAGACAAGCACGAGGACGACAAGGAAGAGATGGAGGAGGACGGGCACGAGGAGGAACGAAGCGGAGGAAGAGGAGGAGAAGAAAGAGGACGACGACGCGACGACGACGAAAAACGCTACAAGACCCCGACGAAAATCACGTCGAAGAAAGGAGGGCTCCTCGTCATATGTTGAATCTACCCTGGGGGCTGTTGGGGCCGTCTAAAGCTAATTGGGGGCATCCTGTGGGCGTCTTGGAGGCCTGTTGGAGTCCTCTTGGGGGCTACCGGGGTCTTCTTGGGCTGTTTGGGCATGTCTTGGGGCTCTATGGGGGCTCTCGCAGGCCGTCTTGGCGCCATCTTGGGCTGTCTCGGGCCGTCTTGGGGCTTTCTTGGGCAGTCCCAAGGCCAACAGCTGGCGCCGAGGGTTGGTTGTTCCGCCCGCGCATGCAAAGGACAGCGCGCCCAGCAAGCGCGTTCGGCAGCAGCGGGGGCATCAGTGGGAGGCGCCGCAGGCGTGCAGATTGGCTGAAGCAGACCGCGCCACCACAGTAGTCGGCGACATCTCAAGTCTGATTGGATAGTGTATACCTTCAAGCGTTTTCTGACTTCCTCATTGGTGGTGGCCGCCAAGCGTGCCCAAAGCTTCGACGCACTGCGAAACTCTGCGACCTGCCATCGCTCAATTTGGGCCAGAGCACCGTGACAGAGAAGACGCGCCTCCAAGCCATAGAATGCACTTGCACTACAAGAGGATATCATAGTCGCACTCGTAGTTGGGCAGGGATGGCGCCCTTTCGGAAGACCTTCGGCGCCAAACGGGCGCAGGCCACGTAGGCCTTGCGAGTCCGAGCTTCCACCGTCACAACGCTCCGTCCCGTCGCGGAAAGCTGAAATCCCAAGTACCGCGCTGCTTCCTGAGGGCGAAGAGGCGGGCCATCATACATCGCGCCAGTCGTCTGTACTGCGATGCCTTTGTTGAGGCGTCTCGATCCACGCCCAGCAGCCGCTGCAATGACCTCAGCTTTCGGCATATTCACGCGGTTGTCTTTAGACCGCAGCACGGAGGCAACGAAGGCGATGAACTCGGCCACTTCAGCGCAGCTCTCGAAGATGGCAAAGGCAATCGAATCATCCACGAAGCACATACACGAAGGATTGCAAAAAAAACGAAGGATTGCAAAAAAACCCTTGAACGAAGGATTGCAAAAAAACGAAGGATTGCAAAACAACCCTTTTTTCGAATGGTTGCAAAAAAAAACCCTTGAACGAAGGATTGCAAAAA